CACCAGTAGATGAGTTGATAAAAAGGCTGTGGTAGGGTTCACTCTTTGTGTGCTACATTCTATGGGTTTTGAGATATGTATAATAACACGTATCCCCTGTTATAGTATCATACTAAGTAGTTTTACTTCCCTAAAAAGTCTCTGTGCTTTATCTCTTCATCTCTCCCTCCCCCACCTAATCCTGACAACCACTGATCTTTCTGTTGTCTCCATAGTTTTGCCCTTTCCAGAATGACATATATAGTTGGAATTGTACAGTTTGAAACCTTTTCTTATTGGCATGTTTCACTTAGTAGTAGGCATTTGCGGTTCCTCTATTTCTTTTCATGGCTTGATAGCTCACTTCATTTTAGTGCTACATAATATTTCATTGTCTGGATTGTACCACAGTTTATCCGTTCAACTAATGAAGGACATCTTAATTTCTTTCATGTCTTGGCAGTGTTGAATAAAGCTGCTATAAACATTTGTGTGCAGGTTGTCATGTGTACATACATTTTCAACTTTTTTGTGTAAATATCAAAGAATATGATGGCTAGATCATCATATTATAAGAGTGTGTGTAGTTTGTTTTTTTTTTAAACTGCTAGACTGTCTTCCAAAGTGGCTGCATCATTTCGCATTTCCACCAGCAAGGAATAAGAATTCCTGTTGCTCCACATCTTTATCAGTGTTTGGTAGTGTCTGTATTTTGAATTTTAGCCATTATAATAGGTGTGTAATGCTATCTTCTTTTAATTTGCAATTTTTCTAATAACATATGATATTGAACAGATATCTTTTCAAAAAAGAATTTTTTTAATCCTCACCCAAGTATATATTTTCCATTTATCTTCAGATAAGGTAGGAGAGAGGAAGGGGGGGGCGGGGAGGAAGGGTGGCGAGGGGGAGACAGACAGACATCAATGTGAGAAAGACACATCGACTGGTTTGCCTCCTGCATGACCCTGACCAGGGCTGGGGACAAACCGCAACCGAGGTATGTGCCCTTGACCAGAATCAAACCTGTGACTCTTTGGTCTGCAGGCCGATGCTTTAACCACTGAGCCAAACCAGCCAGGCATGAACATCTTTTAAAAAATGTTTTTAATGTATTGATTTGAGGGAGGGAGGGAGGGAGGGAGAGAGAGAGAGAGAGAGAGAGAGAGAGAGAGAGAGACATTGATTTGTCGTTCCACTTATTTATGCATTTGTTGGTTACTTCTTATATGTGCCCTGACCAGAGATGGAACCTATAACCTTGGCATAATGGGATGATGCTCTAACCAACTCAGCTACCTGGCAAGGGCTGATGTTGGACATGCTTATTTGACATCTCCTTTGGTGAGGTGTCTATTCAGATCCTTTGCCCATTTAAAAAAATTTTTTTCTTGAATTTTTGTTGAATTTTAAGAGTTCTTTGTATATTTCAGATACCAGTCCTTTATCAGACATGTGTTTGCAAATATTTTCTCCTGGTCTGTGGCTTGTCTTTTTATTATCTTAAAGTTAATAAACACCCAACAACAAACACTTCTTTTAATACTGAAAAATTTCATAAGTCAATTTGGAAATTTTTTCATTTAAAATAAAGCGCAAATTAAAGTAGTTAAAAATGAAAATTATTTGAATTGTTTAGAAGTTTATAATTCTTAGGAGATATAAGGTCTTTCAGATTGTTGAGCTACAGTGTTCTCATTTACTCTATCAGCAACAAGTACAGTTTTTCAGTGGAATAAAGAGGGCACAAAGAGGACAGTCCACCATTGTTTTGTTATCCTTGAAAACTTAACAACTCACAAGAAACAGTAAACAAACCTAAAAATGTTAGTCTACTCTGGTTAGGTAAATTATTCATTGATTTAGAATAACTCTGTTAATTTTTTTTACTCTCAATTTTTTACTCATTGCAGCTGTATATAAATTTGATCACTTAGCCCTGGCCAGTTTGGCTCAGCGGTTAGAGCGTTGGCCTGCGGTCCGGAGAGACCCGGGTTCGGTTCCCGCCAAGGGCACGTACTTCGGTTGCAGTTTGTCCCCGGCCCTGGTTGGTCGTCCGGGTGGCAGCCACTCGATGTGTCCCTTCACGTCGATGTTTCTCTCTCTCTCTCCCTTCCTCTCTCTCCCTCCCACTCTATCTGTACAAAAAATGGAAAAATATCCTCGGGTGAGGATAAAAAAAAAAAAAAAAAATTTGATCACTTAATGAACATCATGTCTTTGGAAGTCAAATATTTAACAAAGTTTCTAAAAGTTCCAATCTGATTATTGAACTTTAGTCATATGTTAGATGTTATTACCTAAAGATACACATGTATATCAACAAGTACAAGTAAAAGACTTGAAAAATTGAATAATGTGCTAGAAAAAAATCATCTAAGTCAACAGAATCAAGAATTTTGGAGGTTGGGGAGTGACTACGTAGGGGATGCAGTCCAGGCCTGGAAAATAGTCCTAATTCCCCGTCTCCATTCATTGGCAGCATCTTTCTCATCACAGTGTGCAGACGGGTGCTGAAACGGCATCTGGGCTCCACGGGAAAGAGCGCTGTAGTCATTAGTAACGTTTGCCATGAGCAAAGAGGGCCAGTTATACAGCCTCAAGCCCATGATCATCTTGTTCCATAGAATCTTACATTCTCACTCAAGGATGAGAATGTAAGGCCCAAATAACTTAAAAGGCTTTTCTAATGTCATCCAGCTAGCTGCTGATTGTAGTGATGATATTTAGCAGATAGGAATTTTATTGTCTACATATAACCATCAAAAAAACATCTTCAGTGTGAAAGATGGACCACTGAGATTATCTTAAGAATTGTTCATAGTGTTTAAAATATTCAGTAAGAAAACAATCTGTTCTAGTCAAGAGATAGCTATGAGTCATTAATAGAAATCAAATTGTGAGAAGCCAGAAAACTAAGAGCCATTAGTCTATGCTTGATCTAATCAATGTCACCTGTTAGACAAAAGGAAAAATATAGCAGCCAGCAGACAGCAAATTAAAACAACGCCCAAGGCAGCCAGTGACATTCAGAAAAAATTCCTCCATTGAAGGCCTGGCGGTGGTCTGCCGGGTCAGAGGAGATAGGAGAAATGTTTATTTATTGGTATTTGTTTTGTTTGTTTTTACTCATTTAGAAAATACTTGGCCAGACACTGATGTGTGTTTGTGTGGTGTGTGTGTAAATATTGTGGTCCAGCTAAAGCAAATTAGATAGTAAGCAGGTAGCTGATAGCTCTGAAAGAGTTATTGACACCACAGGAAGTGGTGTCTGTGCTCCAACAGTAAAAATGCCCACTTCTACATTACGTGTGCTGCCTTCTGGCAGTTACTTGGGCTATAATAGCTGACATTTGTGGAGTGCTTGATATGTGCCATCACCGGCCCAAATTTGGATTCTAAAATGGATACCAAATTTGCGCCGGTGATGGCACATTCATTTTTTTAATGTTAATCATTCCAAAGAAGTAGGTGGTATCATACACATTTTACAGAAGGAAAACCAGAGAAGTTCACATAGCTGCAAGGAACATAATGAACTTTCAAACCCAGAGTTGCCTACTGATGCGCATGTCCATTACTTAAAACTGCCTCTCTCATCTAACTTCTCTGAACCTCTGTGTTCTTATTTGGTAACAGAGATAATACCAATAGAAGCATTGGAAGAACCAATTTTTTGTAAAAACTTGATAAATTGTTGAGCATTATTCAGAAGTAATATGCTATTACCTATAAATAAGATTTAAACCAGTGAGCAAGCATTTCATTGTCATACCACTTATTTCTATCCATTGAGCAATGTTATTATGTAATTTTGCTAATATATAATTTATTTTCATATATTATTAAATTTTTTTCAAACACATCACTGATTATTTAGCAAGCTCCAATTCAAGCTTTACTTTTCTGTTAAAATTGATCCTTTTTCCTAAATAGTCATGTTTGAGGGGACTGTGTGATTCATTTCCAATATAATTATGGTTACACAGTAATACACACCGCATAGGGGTCTTCTGAATATGTACTTATTATTTTGGCATGTACATTGCTTATCAGTTTTCATATTTGTCATTGTTAATATAGTAAATCTTAAAGACAAATATGCTTAATATATTAGCTGTGACATCTTGGTACTACACACACACAAAATAGTTTAGTTTAATTTTTGCCAGTTAATCCATATTAGAATCCAAGACCATATTGAAAGACCTTTGAAGGATTAGATGAAAATATGATGATTGTGTATCACAGTAAATTAAACTGATAGATTTTCCCTCGCTAGATGACTGCCTTTTTACTTTCTCCAAATGACTGCTTAATGGCCAAAAATATAGCATATATATTTATATCTTATATTTATAAATGATAACTAAACTTTAAACCTAACATTTTGTAATGTTTATTTAATAGGAGGATTTTCTCTAAAAGTAAGAGAAAGTTAAATACTGTAATACAAAACTAAGGTTTGTGGCAAAAACCAAAAATAAACTAATGAAGTTAGTTTAATGGTCTTTAGAAATTGATTGATAGCTAGAATTTTTAAGGATTGATAGAGAAAGTTTAAGGGCAGTCTAAGACAAGGAATAGGGTTAATTCTCAGGCTCAGAATCTGATAATATGGGAAATTAAGTTTGGCATGTTGAAACATGGCTTTTGTTGGCCCTTGAATACTCTCTTTTACGGTCAGGATTTTTATATTTTACAAGATTTTTGGGGCCTCCAAGCACCACATCATTTACCAGCTACTTGTGTTAGAAATAGTCCGCAGGTTAGCTGTACTTAACCCAGGGACACTAGTGATGTTTGTTATTTGTTTGTAAGGGCAGGCTTTTGCACGCTTAGGTCTGCTTTACTGAGCCTTTGTACTTGTTAAAAATGAGATGGCGATAGGTGATCACACTTGATCATCACTTACTGTGTAGTTACAACAAGCAGTATTTTAAATTTTACCTATTTTTATTTGTAACACTTGAGAGAACTTTGTTGAGTATGTCGACTTCTTTTTGTTTTGTTTTCCATAGAAACGCTCCAGAGGCCAAGTGCTGTTTGATAAAGTATGTGAACATCTTAACCTGTTAGAAAAAGACTACTTCGGGCTTACATATCGAGATGCTGAAAACCAGAAGGTGAGTAATTAAAAGCAGTACAAAATATTAGGGCTTGAGCTGCTCATTACTGCCAGAAAGTGAACTAGAATTGAAATGATAAATCTTTTCTCTATCTCCCCTCACACTCCCACATTTATTGCTATGAGTCCCTAAATGCTGTTAATCGCCTTATTTCTTCATAAAGGAAATTATTAGCAACTTCCTTTAATCTTGAATAGTATGGAAACTGTAAGTCAGTGTTTCTCTTTCTTCAGTTATTTATGGTTCCAGGAAAGCGTTTTATATGGTGCTTTTTTTGTGATGCTATATTTCAATGGCTATGAGCCAATGAAAATCAAATATATTGATACATACGTAGAAAACATGTTCAAGGCTGCTATCCTATTAATTCATCTTATTATGCTTTCATGTTCTTGCCAAATCAAGAATATGAGAAGAGTTGTTGACCTGACACTTGTCTCATATAGTTAGTGGGTATTTAATGTTTAATGTAATAAATACCTCTGTAGACTCTAGACTCTTATACCTGAATAATGCAGTCTCTTCAGAGCTTTACCTCATTAATCCCACAACTACCTGAAAAACAAGGAAGAAGAAATTATTTCCATTGTATTGGTGCTGGAAACTGAGTCACAGAAATTTTTTTCATTGATGTTACATGTTTTGGTGTTGTGCAGTGAATCATCTTAATATCTACTTAATTCACTGGACAATGTCTAACTTCATTCTTAAACACTTGAGTGTTCTGATGAGGAGAATCATAAATCTCACGCAAGCATTCATTTATTAGAAGGTTTTCTAAGTATGTGCCTGAATTGACTGTGTGGATCTGAATGGCTAGAATGGCTAGAATGGCATTATGTCAAATTACCTGTATCTTTAGTCTAGTAATTTGAACAGAAAATCCAGTTTTTTTGTTTTGTTTTGTTTTTATCTACTCTGTTTCTCTGCTAGCTTGACTCCCTGAAGGCACTGATTGTAAAAGAAAAGAATGTTGTTAGATGAATGGTAGGCACCACATTCTTTCATTAGAACTGTGCGTGGGCCCTTGCACAACCTGTCAGAGGGGCACTGGACGTGGGGAAGGACCCAGCTCGGAGGCCTTCCAGCAACCACTCACTCTCAGACATGCTGAGTGCGCATCTGTACCTGGTCAATATTAAGTCATTTTCACTTTTCTGTGATTCAAATTCAAGCTGTCATTTCCTTTTCAGAATTGGTTGGACCCTGCTAAGGAAATTAAAAAACAGATTCGAAGTAAGTTCTTTTGGATTATTATATGTGAAAATGTGAAGATTTTCAAAGAGTGGGGTTGTCTGAATTGGTAATACATACTCACATGGCTGGTGTGAATACATTGTTTTGAAAAACAGAGTAAGATCTCAAATTATTTTTTTCACAGCTTAGTCTTGCTCAGATCTTCTTTTTAATTATCACAACTTAGGAATAAAATGACTATACACAGATATGAAATGTGGTTTAATCAAGTGATGCTCCAGTTGGTAATTAATCATTTAAAAGTTCCAAACTTAATTATTATTGTTATGTTAAGCCCAGCTGTCCCAAAAGTATAACAGTAAAGCTAAAAGTAATAGTCATTTAACAGGTTAGAAATAGAGTAACTAGTCAGACTAAAGTGACAGCCTCTTTTCTTGGTCCCTAAAGACAAGAAATGCTTATTACTTAGTGGATAAAACAATGGCCTGAGCAACTCACAAAACTGAAATACAAGTAGCGAGTAAATATTAAACAGGTGTTTAATCTTACTAACAATTAAATGCAAGTTAAAATGAGGTATATTTCAGCTATTCAGGGTAGCAGAGATTTTAATGATGCCCTGTATTGGCAATATGTACACAATCTGTAGAAATGTAAATTGATACAATCCTTTAAGAAGGTACTTTTTGTTAGTATTTATAAAATGTAGAACGTACTTACTCTTTAACCTCCTAATTTTACTTATAGAAATTTATTCAGCATATGTAGAAGAGAGGACAATGTATGTGTTGTATGAAAATTCCTTATAATATGATTTGTAATAGCAGAAAACTACAAGCAACATGTATGAAGAAATGATTAACTCACTCATGGAATAGCCATACCTTGAAATACTAAGCAACTATTAAATAGAATGAAGCAGAATAAATATGTCTTAGTTCTCATTAGTGAGACATTAGTAACACAAATCATATTTTTTTAAAAAGTTATGCATATATAGGTGTGTGGAAAAAATTTTAGCACAAAAGATATTAACAATAAATACCTCCAGAAATGGCATTGTAGTGTTGAGAAAGAGGAATTTCAAAATTTTTGTTTTTAACCCTCTTACTTTTGCGTAAACATGGATAATCTTTATAATTTTAAGTAACTAGTTAATGTTTAAGAGCAATTAATTTCTATAAATAAATCTAGATATTTTCCTGAAAACTAATTTTTGTTGAATAAATTTAAGACCAGTGTATTAATAAGAACATTGCCATTGAAATTTTCAACAGCTTACTATTAAAAGAGAAGAGATATTCTAGTGCCTTTGAATGTGTTAAATATTAAAATAGGCCAACTATTAATATGAAGAAATTAGTAGTGAGCCTTTTGAAATGATTTAGTACTAAATAATATCATAATAGAAGAAAAAAGTCACTATACTGATTATTTATTACAATGATAACATCTTTATCTCCATTTTGAGAAATTTGATGTATTCACTAACCAGAAACTTGATAATGAGTAATTGATAAGTTGTGATTGAAACCAGGGACAGCTATGGTTGTAAGTAGGTAAAAACACTCTTTTTGTTCCAGAGCGTCCTAATAAAAATTTAAAGATAATAACTGTATTCTAAGAGTCTTTTTGTGGAGTTCTTAAATGCAGATGTGCTGAATGTATCTCCTAACATTGTGTGCCTAACGTCTTCTGTATTCATCTAACTAATAAAATGCTGTTTTGTATTTGGATGATTCTAATTACAAAGCACTTTGAAAATATATTAAATGTTCCACAGTAAGTCATAATACTGTTACAAGAAAGGCTCTGTAAACAGTCAATTTTCTTTCTCTCTTTTTTTTTTTGTTATTAGAATTTTTTCCCCCTTAACCTTCATTTGTCCTGTCTCCTCCACTTCCTTTTTAATGGGAGAAAGCTAAAGGGACGGTCAGAACCTGAGATTTAAAGGATATTTTCATCGTGCAGATCAGGCCATGGTTGTAACTGCAGCATGAACGGACAGTCTTACAGATAAAGGAAGAGAGAAAGGAAAAATTGGACTTATTTTTAAAGAATTTGGTATTTTATCTATATTTCTTATTGTTCTAATACACTAACATGCCCTCGTTCCACAACATTTACATTCACCCTAGGCAGAGTTTTTTTTTTGTTTTGTTTTTTATCAAACTATTATAATTATTGTATCATTACCTCCTGTTCCTAAATATGATGAAAGATGTTTCCATCTTTTTTATGCTTAGGCCCACAGTATGTTTCTAAAATAACAGCTCAAGAGAATAGCAATCAAAATGGTAGAGATTTTAAGTTACTAATTTATGAGAAATAGAAAATTCTGAAACCAGTGTTCTTATGAAAAATTCTAATTCCAGTCATCTTTTGTTCATACCTGATCGCAAAATTTTTAAATATACTGGATTTTATGATATGATTATAATACAGTAATGTCATGATGTAGAATACATGATATATAGCAGTTTTTTGCTATAAATGCAGTATATTTAGAAATTTTAAGATTTGGCAGGAATAGAAGACTAAAATTTAATTCTTTTCCTAATGATGGACTCTTCAGTTTCACAATTTTCTATTATAAATTTTTGATTTAAAATCCTATATTAGCATATAGTAGTATCATTTTGATGCATTCATGGTGTTCCATTTTCTGTTTCCAACCAGGAATTCATCTGAAGATACAGGCTGTAAGCCCATTCACTGCATAATCATATCTTCCCAGTTAGCTGCTTCTGCCATGTTCTTTACCAGGATATCTATTTTAGCTTAAATCTGCCTCTGTCATTACTTTCAAGTTTTATAAGCCATTTAGCTGGATTTTCGTTTTCTTGATTAGGGTATAGAAGGTAGTTTTCTTGAACTTTCCCACTTTCAAAGTAATGTCCTATAAAACCCAGTACTTATTTCTGTTATATCGTAGGAGAGTGGATTTCTTAGAATGAATGATTTTCAAATTGCAGTCCCCAAACTCACTGTATTAGAACCACACGAGGTTTATTAAAAGCACAAGGTCCAGATTCCAAAATGGCAGTGGAGTGAATGGAAGCTACACAGACTGTCTCCTAAGGCCAGACAACTAAAATAAAGACAAATCGTTGGGAAAAAGCAGCAGAAAAGCAGCTTGTGAGGATCATACAACCAGGGACACTGACTCAATCCTGGTAGGATTGCAGAGGCAAGAGAGGGGGGCTGGGAGCCCACAGACAGCAGCAGCCTTTGCTCTGAGCAGCACCCTGGGGTTAAACTCCCAAGCAGCTCCACAGCCCAGAGCCGGGACAGACACTAAAATAGCCACAGCCACTCACCTTGGGCTCTGGCAGACGGAGGGCGGACTGGACTAGAACTGTGTGGGGACACTCAGGATTGTGAAGGCGCTCAGAGCTTTTGCTGAGTTGCAGCAACGCAGGACGGTGGCCATCTTACTCCTTCCCAGGGCTCTTGGTAAAGGCGGTGGCCCCTCCCTTGGAGATTCAACCCCACCCAGGTGGGCCATTGAAATGCAAACTGGAGCTCATTAAAACCAGCATTTACCCCACCCTCAGGAAATCCCCTTACATTGATCACCTGAGGGAGTGTTTTATTCAACTGAGAATCCAAGGCTCTTCCAGTAACCAAGACTAATAGCCTCCAGACAAAATCCTAGAGGATAACTGAACCATTCCTGGGATAGCAACTCTAACCAGGAAAGTAAGACTTGACAGTGGTGTTTAACATGAGTCCTCCCTCGCTCATCCAAACCCAGGAGAGGGAGCCACGAACAGCAGAACACCAACACCCACAGGGAATATTTGGCAGGCTCCGAAGCCCACTGTGATAGCCAAAATGGTGAATCAAAGAAACAAAAGCCAAATGAAAGAACAAGAGACCTCAACTGAAGATGAGATAAATGTAGAGCAGTTAAGCAAGTCAACAGAGGTAGAATTCAGAGTCGTGATCTTGAGGAAGCTCAACAGCATGAATAAGGACATCAACACCATGAATAAAGACATAGAAATGTTGAAAATCAACCAATTGGAAATTAAAAACCACCAAGAAGAAATGAAGAATGACATACCAGAAATAACATATTGGAAGGTCTAAACAGCAGAATAGAGGAAGCTGAGGACAGGGTCAGTGAATTAGAAGGCAAGGTAGAAAAAAATCAACCAATCAGAAAACAAAAGAAAAAAAAAAAACAATGAAAATACAGGAAGATAGCTTAAGAGAACTGTGGGACAACTGGAAACATAATAATATTCGTATCATAGGAGTCCCCGAAGAAGAAAATGAGCAAAGGTTAGAGAATATATTTGAAGAAATAGTGACAGAAAACTTTCCTAATTTAGTGAAGGAAGAAGGCATTCTAGTTCAAGAAGCACAGACAGCCCCAAGTAAGAAGAACCCAAACAGGCCCACACCAAGAAACATAGTAATTGAAATGCCAAAAATTAAAGACAAAGAGAAAATTCTAAAAGCAGTAAAAGATAAGCAACAGGTTACCTACAAAGGAACACACATAAGGCTCTCAGCTGACTTCTCAACAGAAACACTACAGGCCAGAACGGAATGGCATGAAGTAATCAAGGTCATGAAAAACAAGGATCTAAATCCAAGATTATTCTATTCAGCAAGGCTGTCATTCAAAATAGAAGGTCAATTAAAGAGCTTTCCAGATACACGCAAAAAAGGCTACGGGAATAAATTATCACCAAACCAGCACTGCAAGAAATGTTAAAAGGACTGCTGTAATTAGTAGAAAAAATAGGAAGAAAAATATAACCACACTAGACTTCTGGTCAAGATGGTGGTATAGGTAAATGCGGTATCACGTCCTCCAAAAACCACATCAAAGTTACAACTAAACTAGAGGACAACAATCATTCAGAACTGCCTGAAATCAAGCTGAATGAAGTCCTACAACTACTGAATTAAAGCAGCAGCCACATCGAGACTGGTAGGTGGGGTGGAGGCAGATAGGCTCATCCCACATCCACGTGTGGTGGATAAAAATCAGGAGGACACCTCGGCTGGGAAGGTCCTCCCTG